CATGGCACAAATACAAAAATGTAATGTGCACAGTGCAAATATTCTGTATCTTAGCACTTTAATACTTCAGAAATTACTACCTGGGGTAGAAACACAGCTGAGTTCTCAGTAGGGACTGGGAAAGACAGAGAGGTTGCATTTAAAAGTCCATTGGCACTGAATTAAATGTTGATGGTCTCAGTGTAACAGGATTTGCTGACAATTACATAAGGATTGCAAGGTCCAACATGCAAGGACACAAATAACAGTATTGCGTGCAAGTCCTTTAGGACTCTGTCCATTAGGACTCTGTCCAGAAAGTGCTGCTTTATGTAAAACCAGTAAACTCTACCAGTCAGAATAGAAGGAGGCAGGATAATGAACTGTATAACACATTTGGAGCAGCATCAGTCTCTCAAATTACAAAGTAAATCAAAACCCATATTTCTTACAGAGCTAAAACTATGCACCTGGACTTGCAGATTTAAAGCTGTGCAGTAAATAAAGGCTGAAGGGAAGCCCTTTTAATTATGAAGATGATTCTACGTATTCCTGTTGAGGATAAATTAGACTGCTGTTAGGGCCACGCGAAGCAGCACTATTTTGATTCGGTGTCTGTTTTGATGATTCAGTGGAACAGTGTTTAGTTTCGAGTTTCATTTTGTTTTGAAACCACTGTTCCGTTTCATTTTGTCAAAACTGTTATGCTGTTTTGACATTTTGCCCACAGTTATTATGGGGAAACATAAAATGCAGCAGGCAGGCTGATCAGGGGCTCACTATCACCGCTGGGAGGGCTGCAGGGGCTGTGCTGGAGTCCTCCCAGGGGTGCGAGCCCCTGATCTGCCTGCCAGATGAGAGAAGCCATCCCAGGGGCTGGCAACCTGGTGTGGGGGGTGGATCCCAGCCCCAGGGCTGTGCTCTGCCCCCCCCGCACCAGGATCGGGTCTTCCACAGGGCTGCAAGCCGCTGAATCAGCCTAGTGGCAGAAGGCAGAGCCCAGCCCTGGCTCTGCCCACCTCCCACTACTGGGCTGAGCTCCATGGGGCTGGCGGAGCTCATTGGAGTGCAGCCCGGTGGCAGGAGGCAAGGAGAGCCAGGGGGCTACGCTCCCCGCCGGGCTGAGCCATACGGGGCTGTGGGCGCAGCCGTGGGTCTCCCCTGCCTCCCACCACCTGGCTGCTGCTTCGAAACATTTCGACTGGCCTCTTTTCATTCCAAGGCTCTTTTGAAGCCCTCCGTTTCATTTCAATTTTGCTGTTTCAAGCTCGAAATGAATCAAAACAGCATTGAAACAAAACAGCAGGTGAAATTTTGCACAACCCTATTACAAAGGTAAAAATATAGGAGGAAACATAGACCAGAACAGAGTCAAGGGCTGTAAAAAACAATGGAAGTTAGAAGTGGCCAACAATTCAAAGTACAGCAGGCTGAAGAGATCAAAATGTTGTATTTCCCATCTTTCTTTCATATCTATGGAAGATATTACAGTTTTCACACTTGGGAAAAAGAGATTGCAAATGGGAACATTAGCCAGCACAAACTCAGCCCGGTCTTGTGACAATCACACTAGGAAATGCTGCCTGCCTTCATCTTTTTTGTTACATCTCAGGTTGCAAGCCTGTTTTTCTTGCTGGGAAAGATCATTCACTGAACAAGAAAAACATAGCTGTAACTCCTCCTTTTGCAGCATTTTGCTTTTTTTAAGTGAAAAGCATTCAGAAACACAAACATTATCCAGATATGCTCTTAATTTTCAGTTATACTGTGAAAGGTCTCTCTGCTCTTTCTTCTTCCACATTTGTGGAAAAACCGACATAAAGGATTATGGCCTCTGAGGCATGACTACTGTACCTTTACTCTAACGTGAATGAATCCATCTTATTGGAAAGCTTTATGCTGCTTTTAATTAGCTGAATTCATAAGTTATTTTAAATTGGAGTGTTTTTATTCAAGGACCACGTGGCTGTTTATCCAGACTTTATTTAATGCCGGCTTTATTTTCCCAAAGAAACCATTTTCTCTGATTGCAAAAGCACACTTTGCAGTTCTGCAGCAACTTTCAGCCAATAATCTCAAAGAACTTTGCAAATATTCGTTAAGCATCTGAACCCCTTCAGGGGTAAATATAATTACCTCTATTATACAAAAGGAAGCACCAGAGTTACTGAGAAATTAAATTATTCCCACTTTGAAGAAGTCATTGAAAACAAAACTCGGAAGTCCCAACTCTCCAGCTCTTTGCAATAATAGCCCATTCTCATACATGCTGGTGACAGCCAGGCAGGGTTAATAAACTGCAAAGAATGCAAGCAGACCAAGCACAATTTCACAAACCAATACAGGTGATCAAAATAAATATCCCATCGTTCCACAAGTTCAGGCCTACTTCTTTTCCTTTATATATTTTTTTCTACATCACTGTTCTTTTCCATTTAAAAAAGAAAAGAGAAAACTAGAGCTTTTCTGCAAAGAACTGTAGTTGACATCACTAAGATTTTTGACTAAAAGCCCAGAGTACAAATAGACCTTTGGTTATTTGTTTGTGCGTATGTATACACACTTGTATCAGCTCTTTTAATTTTGTTACCTATGATGGTAAGATAGGAATGTAGGAATAAGTTTGATTATTTCACTCATGCTTTCTATGCTGGCTAGTGAGCAGTAGAGCTCATTGCATTGTGGGTCCTCATCTGTAAACAATGGAGCAGAACGCTTTTTTAAAAAAAACCCAAATGCTTAGAATTAGCCTACATTTGGAAAGAGGCTCAGAATCGAATCTGCATTTCAAGATTGACTCACATTTTCAACAATTTATTATACACCTAAAAAATACATTATTAACTCCAAAAAGTCACTTTCTTGAAAACACTTTTTAGATGAATGGTCAAAGTTAAAGTTATTTGTAGTATTGAAACCTCTTTTATGTGGATAATAATCAAGCTTATTTTGTGGCCAGAATAATATTTATTACATGTCAAGTTATTCATTGTTGTGCTTTTAAGTGCATTGGTTTATAAATGATGCATAAGTCATAATGTTACTTAGCAAGCTTAACTGCTTTTAGAAAAAAAGTCTGCAGTCTTTAGAATGTCCAAAGGTGTTTCATTTTAATGTTATGTCCATCTTTTATTTTGTTCTTTTATGAAGTTAAATGAAGATCAGTAGATGGGTTTGGAAGTAAGAGTCACCAGGTTAGTAAATGAAAGGAATGGGAAGTGCTGACATAGCTAACAATGACTAGAAAGCATTTCAGAGGCACCAGGGGGAATATTATTGCCATAACCAGTATTCATCTTAGGAAAATACACTATCTACAAGCAATACTTCACCTACTATAACTGAACAGGCAGTGGCGATGCATGGGGGGGTGCATGTGCACCCCCTCAGAGTGCTGGTGCACCCCCTGACAGCCAGCGTTCCCTGCTTAGGCAACAAGCAGGGGGGTGCAGGTGCAAGCACTGGTGCCACCCCTGAAAGCGCCAACTGGGGAGTGGGGGCACCTGGAGAAGTGCCCCTGCAACTTCTGGGTCAGCATGATCAACTGCAGGGGGACCCCTCCCACCCCAGTCAGCGCAGTTGGCCACAGGGGACCCCCCCCGCGGTCACTGACTGGCTGCTTGGGGGGCAAGTGCCTCCCCTGACTGAAGAGGCACCAGTCACCCATGTATACAGGTCTAGGGAAGAACTTGATATATACTTCAGTTCTTCCATCTTTTGTTTGAATGCATCAGGGATCTGTAAATCATAACCGTGTTGAAGATATATTGCTGATGGGATTATTTTTTAATGAAAAAAAGAAAAGCATTTTTTCAGGAATGAAAGTTTTGTATACATTACTATTCTTGCCATTGAAAACTGGTTGTTGAATGAATCATTCCTTTTCTGGTATTATGATGCTTTTATCATGAAAGTGTCTAATCTTAACCGTTTCTTCTCCCATTTATTTCTCCCTGTTGTTTTGATCTGTTTTAGCATGTAAGAGCCTCACATCAATGAATATATCTATTTTCTTTAACATTTGCTTAACACCTAGTTCATTATGACTACTTTTGTCAGCCAAGAGTTCTTCATTTATTTCATTATTTCTAAGCTAGTTCTAGCTATAAAAGTTCTTAACTGTACAAATCTGAAATTGGAAAGCACAATATTTTTTTTTGCATTGAAAGCAGCCAGAATCAACCTTCTAATGGGATTTTGGTTTAATTGTAATGATAACAGGCTACCACCTCTCCATAAACCATACATATTTGAATCTGTGGGAGAAGAATCCACAGGTCTATAGCTCCAAAAGAGAATCAAAGTCTCTACACCCTGTACATTGCATAGTTTCACCTATAGACAGTTTATGCATGGCATCAACTCCAACCAGCCAATAGAGGGCAGCATACTCAAACACTGGTCTGCATTTTCAAGAGGGGCCATTTGGGTTTTCCGCTTGACACTTGAGCATCTTTAGGTAAACCACTATGACCTTGTAGATAGCCTGCCTCTACCTCTATTTTTGCTTGTTAGGGCGTTATAAAATGATAAATCTTAATAATTCTTGTATTTATACTATAAGAATATATCTAAAAGAGAGTATTTCTGTGTATGATATTAAAGTAAGATACAGACATAATATATTTTATAATTATTTCATATATATGCAAGGAGAGCTCCAGGGGATTAAAATTATTAACATGCATCAAATCTCAACTATCGAACCCTCTCAAGGCATGCCTATACAATCTAGACAGTAGGAAATATTCACCAAATAATTTCAAACAACATAAAGGTGGGATAAAGCATAGATATTTTGACAATTAATACATAGAAAAAGAAAATAAATAAATCATAAAAAGTATTCTCTGCAACCTATTGACTCAGCTGTTACAAGGAAGATATATGTGGGTCAGGGGAGAGTGAAAGGAACAATGGCGATTCATCAGTGGTTCTACAGCATTACCTAGCCATAAATTCCATTGCCAATCTGTCTGTTCTTAGGCTCTATAATGAATCATGATTCCATTTTACTTTAGGAAGCAGCAATACAGTGCTTGGATGAAATTCAGCTAATTGAAAGAAGCATTTCAGATGTTATCACCATCCAAAACAATGTGTATAAAGCCCTGCTACATCATATGACCCTGAAAATAGCTGGAATTCTTATTCTACTAACAAGAGTGTTCACACCCTTCTGAGGATTTAGCTGTGTTAGCACCCTCAATGACCAAAGGCTTAGCTGTTTTGATAGGTTTCCTTGTGCATCCCATCTTCTTCTTCAAAGACTCATTCCAATTCTTCCGACATCCTAAATTAAGCTATCAAGATCCACTTGACATCAAGAGCAGCAGTGTTTACACTATATTGAATTTTTCAGTGTTCTGGCACCTGAGTTTAAGCTATCTTAGAGGATCCCCACATCCATATGGGGGTCTTGGAACATGCCAACTTGCTATACGTGGCTACCATGTGGTATATTCTGAAATCTCATCAAGATTTCCAACAGAATTATCACACTGAAAGGAGGACACTCAGAAGTGATATATTCTAGAGTTTACATTGGGTCCCAGGTATGAAGGAACAGTTACAAATTTAACTAAAACTCTGTGATACCCATTCAGTGAAGACACAATCATGTATGAAGGTTCAAGCCCTAAGGCTGTGATTTAAGATCTCTGTAACATATAATGCTAGAAAAGATGCAACTCTTCAGTGGTTGTATAGGGATAATATAAAAGGGGAGAAATAAAAAGGTATATGCAGTTTCTACTGGAGTGTATTGAAGTGTCTGATGTCATATGTTTCCATTAAAGAATGTTCCTTTGTTTCATTTTGCTTTCAGCAAAAAGTGGCAACATTATCTCATTTTGAATGAGAAACTGAATGGTTCGGGCTAGCATTGCTAGTCAGTCTTTTGGCTTTAGAAAGTGCCATTATAGAAAGTGTTTCAGCCTGAGAGAGCATCCACAATAATTTGCTATAACTTGAGTTTACTTCTCAGATTTGAATTTACTTCTCAA